GAGGGGGGTGTTAAAGTCCCCCACTATTATTGTATTGTTGTCAATGTGTTTCTTTGCTTTTGTTATTAAAACATACTTTTTAAAAATAAAAACACTGCATTTCAGATTTCTAAGTAATTTTATAGCATACACAAATACAGAGTTTATAATTATCATGGAAAAAAAATTTTCACCAGTAACAAAGACCCCGACTTAATGCATTGAACATACCTGAATAGATCCTAAGTAGCCAGTCCCCCACCACTGAGGGCATTGTGGCAAGAGTCCACGCACTGCTAGCACCACCAGGATTCAACAGGTGCCCCTGATTCTTTTTCTGAATCTCTTGGGGAAAAGTGGCACTACCGCTTCCTACTGGTATATTTTCAAGGGAAGACATCAAGGGATGCTTACAGAGAGATGTTGAGTTCATCCCACACCGTCCCATGAATAAAATGTCCACACAACTGACTTCTCCTACCCTCCTGGACATATAAAATGTTTTTTATTAGCCATTTTGGAAGGAAATCTTCTCAAAGAATAATAAGAAAAAAAGAAATAGTTCTGTCTCTTATTAAACAAACCACACCAGACCAATTTAACATTTTTTCAGTGGCTGAGGATCATCATTTGAAAACCCATGATGACAGTCTTCTGGGTGTGGGGAATGCTGAGTGCAGGGTGAGGGGAGGAGGGACACTGTGTTTGCCAACCCCAGGTGGTCATGGCCACCGTGATCTTGAGGTGTGTGTTGTTCCACCATCTTCTCTCACATCAGCTCTCTGGCAGTTCTGGTTCTCTTGGTGGCTCAACCAGGACAGGCTGCTGCTCTTTCCAAGGGTAGGTTTTAATCTGCTATAGGTGGGAAAGTCATTTAACCATGCTCCTCTGTCCTGCATATAAACATGAAGAGACTTCGAGAGAGCATCTAGAGCTTTCTCCTACTGCTAGAATGTTTGCATTTTGTAGCTATCTTAGGGCTATTTAGGAGTTCTTAGACACTATTTATGATTGCTTCATTTTTCCCATCGAGAAATTCCCATAAATATTTCCTATGGTTGAGTTTGTTGAAATCATGCCACTCTAAAGACAATTTTCACTTTATGTTTCAAGGGACAGTGATAAGGAGACATATCAGAAGAGTCTCACAGGCTGGCTTGACCTTTCCCCATAACTGTGTTCAGGAAGGTGGTCCCCAGCACCATAATGAGCATGCATCACAGTGCACTGGACAGGGAGGGATCACACACAAGGCTCTATGCAAGAAAGCAGATGTGCCCCCGCTGGCCTGGGGCACATGTATTCAGTGCTCCTGTCTGCTTGCCCCTTGGTCCTTCCACACACCGGATGTTCAAGTTCCACACCTGCTGTTCAAAAGTTTTTGGTAGCATTCAGAACCCTTTGATGGTAGACGGTGCAAAGTTGCAGGCAAGAGTATCAGATGAGGGGGGATGGTCCACTCTGCTCCCTGTTCCCCCAGAGCCTCCCCCTGGCCTCCTCTCCTGCAGAGGACACCCTTGGACAGGGACGCCATGTCTCCCTTTAGCCCCTCCCAATGGAGTGCCCATTCAGCCCCCTCTCTTGGTAGGGTCCCTCAGTTGGTGACTATGAGGACCAGCTAATGGGGCCACTGAACTCCTGGGGCTTTAGTCCCTTCCCCCAGTGGGGACGAGAATTGGAATATGTTGCAAAGGCTCCCGTCTGGTGTCCCAGATTCACAGCTCAGTGGCCCCTTCTTGTGCTGCACAGGCTGCCACAGGAAGCCTTCTGCCTTCTGCCTGATCTCAGAGAAGGAGGGGCTTCAGCCCCTGTGTTTGCTTAACTCTCTAGGTGGCATGGTGACACTGTGGCGGCCATGGGGTTTCTACGGTCAGTGGGCATCAAGCTGGCGCTCACCTTACAGCTTTGCCCTCACGTGGTTGAAGGGGAACATTCCTGTCCTGTGTCATAAACTCTGAATCCTAACCACTCCTCCCCCTTTCCTCTTCTGTGCTCAGCCTTCTGACACAGAGATTGGAAAAATGGTGAAGCCATTTGGAAATACAGTGTGGCAGTTTCTCAAAACGTGAAACAGAATTTCCATGTGACACAGCGGTTCCTCCTAGGGATCTACCTGGGAAAAGTGGAACCACAGGTCCTCACAAGAACCTGCACCCTAATGTTGATGGCAGCATTATCCATAATATCCCCAAAATGGAAACAATGCCAATGTGCACCAATGGATGGGTGAGTCAACAGAATGTGGAAATCCCATGTAATGCAATATTTTTCAACAACACAAAGGAACAAAGAGCTGATACACACTACAGAATGGATGAACCTGGAAAATATGCTCACTGAGAAAAAACCATGAAGTTAGATAAGAAAGAATACCTACTGTGGGATCCTATTTGTAGGAAATGTCCAGAAAAGGCAAATCTAGAAGGATAAATGTCAACTAGTGATTGCCTGGGACTGGGGTGGAGGGGTATCTTTTCAGGGTAGTAGAAATGTTCTAAAACTTGCTATGGTGATAATTATACAACTCTATATACTTGTGTTGGGTTGTAATGGGGTGTGTGTGTGTGTGTGTTGGATTATGTAAATATACTTGTGTTGCCCCCCCCACAATGCATGCCCACCTGTGCCTCAGAACATGACTTCGTGTGGAAATAAGTTATTTGCAGATATAATTAGTTAAGATGAAGTCATAATGCATGAGGGTGGGTCCTAAATCCAATGACTGGTGTCCTTATAAGAAATCCACATGAAGACATGGCAAAACCCTCAAGGAAGAACATGATAGGAAATGGGGGCAGAGATGGGAGTGATGCAGACACAAACCAAGGAGCGGCGGGGCCACCAACAGCCAGAAGAGGTAAGGAATGATTCTTCCCTAGAACTGGGGAAGGAGTATAGCCCTGCCAGCATCTTGATCTTGGACTGACTTCCAGACCTGTGAAAGAACAGATTTCTGCTGTTGAAAGCCACCCAGCTCATGGTGGTCGGTTACAGCCGTCCTAGGAAACGAATACTATAGGAAACCCCATTCGGCTGTACACTTAATGCAGGTGTTTTTTATGGTATGTAAATTAGACCTCAATAGAGCTGTTGAGAAAAATTAAATTTTTTCTCGAACCGGCTGGAGGAAGTGAGTGATCAGGACTGAAGTCAGGGGCTCACGAGCCAGGCTGGCTGCCACACAGGTGTGCTAGAAGAGGGGTCTCACCACAGCTGTAGATAAAACAAAGGACTCATGGTGCTGCTTCTCCCAGTCAGTCTGTCCCCTCCGTGCCCCCACCTCTCTGCCACACACCTGCTGACTGAACAGGGGATCTCCTGTGGGCATCCAGGCTGCAGAGCTTGGAGATTTTTTCCACGTTGTGGTATGTCTCACATCACTCCGGTATGCTGTGGGGAAGATGAGACTCAATACCTGCCGGTCTGAAAAGAAGGCATGGTGTTTCTCTGGTCACCTGCCCAAGGAGCAGTGGAGGGCTTCTGAGGTGGCCAAGAAAGTACACAGGTGTGAGCTTGACCTTAGAAATGAGGAAGGGCCTTTCTCCCCGTGATGGTGGAAATGAGGCCTAAAACAGGTAAAAATATAGATTTATTTGGTTATTTTTCAAATCTCCTGGTCCTTTTTTGAGAGTGTCTTTTTCCCTTCTTGTGTTTTTTAAAAATCTGTAAACATTTTGTGTATAATTGTTTTATAGTCTGTGTCTGATCATTCTAGCATCTGAGGTGCTTGGGCTGATCCTCAGTGATGGTGGGTCATGTTCTCACATGTTTTTACTTTTGGTCTGTTGGCTCATGTTCAGCAGAGGTTTATCTAGGAGAATTTCTATGGGTCTGGATGGAGTGTGCCTCCCTCTGGAGCGTGTTTGGGTTTCTTGTGCTAGGATCTTCAGGCCTATGGCCAAAGTAGGGTCACCAGCATCTTGACCCTTTAGCATGAATCCAACTCCAAACTGATGCGGAGTCAGACCAGCTATGGATTCTCAGGGTAGACTTGTTTTCTTCATTCATAACATGAGCCAAGGCAGTTTGCTTCTCCCTTTGTGTGTGTGGATCTTGTTGTCATTGTTGTAGGTACTTGCTCCGAAGGTGGAGCCCTTTGAGGAACCTGGTTTGAAGGGCCCACTTTTAACTCCCTCTCTCGCAGGTAGTCAGGGCCCCAGCATGCTAATACCTCTTGTCTTTCAACATCCACTTCTGTCTCCGGGATTTCTCTTACTTTCTTATAAGCTCAGTGTGTGCTGCCCCTGTACTCGTTCTGTGCTGCCCTGAATTTCTAGGTGGTGTGTGGAATGGGAGCAGGGTCTTAAGTCACCCAGCGTAGTGCCAAGCATGAGGTCTTTAGATTAATGTTGCGGTGGGAGAGGGGGTACTAGAGAAGTTCACAAATAAAGCTTTCTGTTTTCTTGGCGAACTGGGGATGAGATTCCCTGCCATGCGATGGGAGAGGGGTGGGTCTGAGGTCTCCAGGTGACCGCGACAGTTAGTAACAACTGTGGGAGAGAAGCATAGCCAGAAGTCACCTCAAGGAGGGGTCAGCAGCGATCAGGGCCCCAACCTAAGTTGATTAGTAAGGTTTCAGAGTTCCACGATTGAAAATGGTAGTTAGAAACTGTCATTTAATGAAAGCCCCCTCTCCAGTCTATTCAGAAGTAAAATCATTTCTCTATGTGTCCGAGGGGACATGGGCTATGCTCCGCGACCCATGTGTGCCCGCGGTGGGCTGGGAAGAAAGCAACACTCCCTCGAATATGAAATCCTGCAGCACCTTCTGAATGAATGAGCTGAGGGCTCATTTCATTAGGTTTCACTTTTCTGGCACCTTCCCTCTCTTCTGTTCATGATTCTTGCTCCGCTGTTTCTTGAATACATTGTATTTCAAAGAAACCCCTCTTTAAGCATGATTTAGCCGGTGTTACGGTGGGGAAATCAAGAATGCTGCTTTGCCAAATAAGTCGTGTCCCTCTTGGGTTTTCAGTTCCTGCGATGATAACGTCCTATCCAAACACGACCCTGGCCACTCAGGGTCAGAAGAAAGAAATGAGTTGTGCAGCCCATGGTGAGAAACCCATCATAGTCCGCTGGGAGAAGGAAGACCGGATCATTAACCCTGAGATGGCCCGTTACCTCGTGTCCACCAAAGAGGTGGGAGAGGAGGTGATCTCTACTCTGCAGGTAAAACGCGGGGAACACAACAGATCAGAATCTAACTTCATCGGCAGGATAATCCTGCCCTTTCACCTAAGTGGGTGCTTGTGGGTGATAAACAGCAAATAATCTTTCAGGACTTATTTATGACACACCATTTCTCTCCCTCTCCTTACAGCGACATTACTGAGTCACCTACAAAAATAGTGCTTGATCTTAAGTGTTAGGAAGAATAAAATGATGACAAGCATGCCAGGGAACCCAGCTGTAATTAAAAAAAAAAAAAATGGGAGAAATCGAGTCTCTTAATGACAGATAATCCTGGAGAAATGACCTCCTATGCTGTGCACCTGTTTTAACATCCTGCAGAAACAGAAATTAGATAGGCTTTATAAGGAAACATGTTTTGCTTTTTTGGGAAAAATCCAATATAAAACCTTCTGTCCTTCATAGAGGATCACAAAAGCTAGCAAAAAGTATTATAGTCCCTTATATTTTTTTAGTACTGTTGGTAATTAACTGAGTGGTGTTTTTAGTAGGGGGAGAAGGGACGCTGTAGCATCACATCTGGGAAAAAAGAAAGCCCTGTGTTTGACACGCTGAGATTGAGTCATGCACAGGTCCAATCCTGGGGTCCTTCTAGAGAGAACTCTAATGAGGGTCCTGCAGGACCAAGCATTTACTGCAGGATTTACAGATCTGCTTCTCCGGGCACTAAAGGCACACCACGAGAAAAATAAATGCATATGTGGAATATACATCCACCTGACCATGGCATCCTACATAAATGACACATCCCATTTAATGAGCTGGAAGCTAGCATTGACAAGGTACATCGAACCTGTCCATCTACACCATCACAAGTGCAAGGAGATAATTTGCTCTCAGGGGTGTGTGTGTGTGTGTGCGCGCGCGCGTGTGTGTGTGTGTGCGCGCGTGTGTGTGTGTGTGCGTGCATGCACAGGGGCACGTGTTGGGGATGCAGGAAGGGTGGGAGTGGAGAGATTTTTACAGCCAAAAGCCCTTTTAGTTGTCCTCACTCCATGCTACTGGATAAGATGGATTTCTTTCTGCTTTACACATAGATTTTGCCAACTGTTAGAGAAGACTCTGGCTTCTTCTCCTGTCATGCTATCAATTCTTATGGGGAGGACCGTGGAATAATTCAGCTCACAGTGCAAGGTAGGAAGGAGACCGAACTGGGGGAAAACACTGCTTTTAGGACAGTAAGTGTATGCTCAGGCTCGGACCTCTGTGGTGGGCTCAGCTTTCTATGTAGCACCTCCTGATTCCCAGAAAATCTTGAATATGTTCAAAGTTGGTGTTAAAACAGTATTTTGCAGTACCCGTGACTGTGTCACAGTGCAGTCCCAAAACACAGGGAACAGAGTCCTGAAAGGAATTGGGCCAGATGACCCCGTAGTCCCATTGAAGGCACCCAGTGCAGGAGTGCACCTGCTTAGCTGAATGGTGGGAATCCTTGTGCTAGGCGATCCGAAGGAGAAGGAAAGGTTCACATTGGAAGCCAAAATATTTTTTGAGTTCTGGATTCCAAACCAGAAGAGTGACATTTAATCCACATCCCGCTTTGGCCCAGCCGTGCCATAAAAGCCTGCCAGATAGCCCTGCTGCAAACACCGGGCAGTTTGGGAAAGTGCAATTTCTCCTCCCCGAAATGGGATTAGGGAAAAAATGTTTCCTGGTAAAGGGGTCAGCCACCGTCAAAGGCTGACAAAGCTTTTCTGAGCCGAACTCAGCATTTCCACCGTGTCTTCTGTCTGAGCCGTGTTTGAACTAAGCCCAGGTTTTCCTGTCGATTGCGCAGAGCCCCCAGACCCTCCCGAAATTGAGATCAAAGACGTGAAAGCACGCACAATCACCCTCAGGTGGACCATGGGGTTTGACGGCAACAGCCCCATTACGGGCTACGATATTGAATGCAAAAATAAATCAGGTAAGTCCTTTATTTCCTCCAGCTTTATTTCTACTTCAAAAAGCCCTTTTCTTGTTCTCCTCGGTTATTCGTGATTACCTGTACGAATAAACCCCGCCTCAAGGAAACTCGGAGGGGGTCTCTTTTTACCATTTTGTCTTTCCTTGCTCAGAGCACACCGCGTCTCCTTTGCGGGGTGGGGTCTGTGTGCAGGGGCCCGGCTCTGCCTCAGCCCTCCCTTCTTTCCCTCTGGACCCCAGGCTTGCTTCCCACCTGCCACCCTGGCGTTCTTGCTGCAGACCAGCAAGCGGCGTGTTATGTTTTCTGCCCCACCCCCACCCCCACCCCCTGCTGTCCTTCAAGTCCCATTTCCTCAGCCGGGGGGGGGGGGCTGCTCTAGACAGGGACTTCTGACTAGAGCCTGGGTGTCGGCTGAGCTCGGAGTCTGTAGGCCCAGTTTCTGCAGAGACAGGAGAGCTGCTCCATGTGGAGATGCGCACTGATCCTGCAGGGAGGTTCCGGAAGAGCCGCAGGGACAGTCCAGGGGCACTTGCCTCTGCTCAGAGCATCACCTGCTTCCCTGGGGCCAGAGGGGCCATAAATAAAACAGACTCGGGGGTCAGGACCACAACAAGTGTGTCTGTTCTTCCCCTGAAAGTGCGGTGCTAGCGTCACTTGGAACTGCAGGATCCATCAGGCCGAGGGTAGAAGGCCACCAGCGTGGCCTCTGTTCAGGACTTTGTGTCTCATGAAAGAGAGGAGGACTCAGAGCAGCACCAGCATGTGTAGGGTTAACAGACCTCCCACGTAGCCTTATTTTGCACTTTCTGGGCACCGTACTTGACTTTGGTTCCCCGGTGGTGACCTACTCAGTATATTTGGGCGGAGGCGGTAGTGAGAAGGAAGCTCAGGCAGCTGGAGGCAGGCCCTGAGTGAGGGAGGTGTCAGGACCAGCATGCAAGGGAAGGGACAGGGAGTGGCAGGGGCTGGACGGCCGGCCGAGGGGGCAGTGTCCCAGCAGCGTGTGTGAACCTGCTTCACCCCCGGAACAGTGGTTTTAGCAAGAGCACTTGAGCCTTGCAGAATGCAGCTGCGTTTGGAATGCACAGAGGAGCGGCTCGTTTGCCCAGAGTCACGATGGAGTCCCAGCAGTGAGGCCACACAGCCTCGGGGCCTGCAGGAGCTCAGAGAGCGGAGCGCAGGGGCGGCCAGTGGCACGGTCCCCGGGGAGTGGGACAGCCGGCGCGGGGCGGAGGCAGGGGACGCAGGGACGGCGAGCTAGTGAAGACAGTGCTGGCCTAAACGGGACTCTGCGGGAGCTTCCCCGGGGCCAAAGGGAAGAGAGGACACCTGCCTTTGTTGTAGAGACGCAGGTCAGGAAGGAGCCAAGGAATTCCAAGTTCTGAGACACTCATCTTGAAGTCAAGGAAACACTTCTTAGGTGAGGCAAGCAGGTTCTAGCAGGGAATGGCCGGGACGCTGACCGTAACGTGGAGAACTCCAGAGACAGGCAGACGCACATCGTGGGGACAGTCCACAGAGTCCCAGGGCGGGGAGGCCCCCACCGTCTCTCTGGCTGAGCATAACTGCAGGGTGGCGGGCTTCTGTGCTCTTGGCAAGGGTGCCTGGGGGGTCTCTTGGGGGAGCGGTTCAGTGCCTCCCTGTCTTTGGGGGAACCGGTTGTTTCCAGGTGCTGGTTCCACAGCATCTGTGTGCCTTCACTGGCCCCTTGCTCTCAGCATTCCCCGCTGTGAAATGGGACACCACAGCATCTCCCTGGGACAGGAGTCCCTCAAAGGCCACAGGCTGCCCTTTGGCAAGACCACCCCCTTCCCTGGACCACGCGGTTCCCATGCTTACTCCCACCTGCTTCTTAGACCCCACCTCTCATGTCACCTCCACAAGGACGCATTCCTGCCCACACCCGAGGCCAGGCCTCCCGTCACGTGCTCCTACAGCATCATCTCCTTTCTTTCCTGGCTGGGCTGTCACAGGCGATCATACAGTTGTTTCTGTGATTATGGTTTGTTTTTTTTTTTTTCCAAATTTATCAACATTTCCTTTTATTGCATCTGGATTTTGAGTCAAGTTAGAAAAGCTGTTCTCTACAGTTGGGCTATGAAAGAATCCACCCTGATTTCTACTTGTATGGTTTCTTTCTCTCGCTCCTACATTCAGATCTCTGATCCATTTGGACTTGATTCTTGTGTATTCTGGGAGACACGGGTCCAGTTTGATCTTTTCCCAGATGGAAATCTTGCTGCCCCAACATGACTTATTAAAAAGCCCACCTTTCCCCAGTGGTTTCAGATGCCAACTTTGTCACCGGCTAGCTTTCCTTGTGCTCCTCCATCATTTCTGGACTTTCTAGTCTATTCCATCGTTTTATCAGTCTATGACTGCATCAGCACCACACTGCGCTAATCGTGGAGGCTTCTTCTCATGTTCTAACTTCTGGCAGGGCTAGTCCGCCCTTCTGACTGCCTTTTGACGTTTTCTTAGCTTCCCATATGTGACCCTTAGGATCAACTGGTCTAGCTCCATAAAAACATTTTTGGCATTTTTTTATTGGGATTGCATCAACTTTGCTAACTAACTTAGGGAGAACTGACATTTTTATGATGCTGTCGTGGACTGAATTGTGTCCACCAAGAAGGTATGTCGAAGTTCTAACCACGGGTTCCGCAGAAGGGTACCGTCTTTGGAATAGGGCCATTATGGTTGTGACCGCGGATCCATGGGTCCTCTCCACTGGGCTGCAAGTTCCTGTGCCACGAGGCCTAGTTTTCCCCCAACCCATTCCTCCAACATGTAGCACAGCCCAGCACACTGGGGGCCCTCAGTGCATACTTGGTGAATACTCTTTAACAAGGGAGTGGCTTTAAAGCATGTCCCCAGTGTCTGGCACATAGCCAACGTCTTCTAAATGGTGGCTTAGAGTATCAGTCTGGCATGCACACATGCTTCTAAATCAAATGCCCCTAAAACTGTCTGTGCCCTCCACCTGAGAATCCTCAGCACCCCAGCACTCCGTGAAACTTCCCCAGAGGCAGGAACTCTGCTGTCTTGGGTCACATGCTCCTGGATCCCAGCACTCGGCACAATGCCTGCCACGTGAGGAGCACTCAGAAAATACTCAGGGCGTTTAATTTACCTGCGATCCAAATCTAAGAATCATCTTCACAGCACTTCCGAATTCTAAATTGAGCGGGTTCTACACAACCCACGTCGGAGAGCTCCTTATCTATGACCTGGCTGCAGTCAGAACCCATCCATGCTTCACACTGTCCTTCCACCGCACACAGGGCCGGGGCTGAGAGGTTCACACAGCCCTGGAGCGAGTCTAACCCAGTCTGAGTTAGAATCGGTTCCAGGAGAGTCACTGGGGAAGAGCCCATGGGACAAGTGGGTCTGACTCCATGACCTCACGTCACCAGCAGGGCCCTCCTGACCCTCCACTGCATTCAGTTTGAAAGGCCTGGGCAGCAGGCGGTAATGGTATTCACTGCCATAAATATCACGTTAGTCTTTTCATGTATTAGTTTCTTCCTCGGTAAGTTTTGGGTATATAAAAAGGACAACTATAATTTAAGCTAATGCAACTTATAGGCTGAGTATATAGAAAACTGATCCTTGAAATCACAGCTTAAATGTCACTTCCTCCAGGAAGCCTTCCCCGATCACCCATTTTATAATGTGCCCCTTCCTCTATTCATATAGCATCCTGTCTGCCTTGGAACATTTAGTGGGCTTGTGGATGCTTACTGAATACCTGGATCCTCTACTGGGAAGATGTTTAACATCTGTCTCCCCTACTGGGAAGCTGTCCCTCTGAGGGTTCTTGTGACCCCTCAGGGCAGGGACAGTGTCTGAGGAGCCCTGTGCTACGACCCTGCATCCCCAACAGTGAACAGTCCACATATGAGACTTTTCATAAACATTTGTGAACTTGTTGACCCTCATCCTCTGTGTCAAGCAATGAAATCATACCCAAGACACTTTCCTTTACTCTTTGTTGATTTGCCAAGGACGTAAGGTATTGCTGTACTTGGCGTTTGTAACTGAGTGGGTCCCTGCAAGGGGCCACTCGGTCTGTGCTTGAACAGCTCCAACAATGGAAACTCCCTAGCCCCAGGAAAGCAGTTCTGCCTTGGGCCAGCCATGACTGTCACAAGTTCTTACATTTCATGCACCGAAACAGACCTTCCTGAATCCAGTGGCCCTCTTCCCACCCCTAAACCCTGTGGTCAAATGAGACCCCTTGCAGGATTTGAAGACAGAGGACTCTCCTGCTTTCCTGTTTGCCAGGAAAAATAAAACATCCCAAGTCCCTTTACTTGTATCTCCTATGACCACCCCCTGACCCTCTCAATCCGGTCCTGCCCGCATCATCGACTTTGCCTTGTGTGGCGTGGCTTTGGCTGCCACGTGACTTGGTTCCTAGCGAGTACTGCTTCTCCCTTCGATGGACACAAGAACCCCTTCGCCGCCCAATCCCAGCATCTCACCCCGTGTGTGCCTCCAGCTCCTCAGGCGCTTTGCGGCATCCCCTTCATCCCCTCTTTGGAAGACAGCCTGCCTTGTGCCCACATCCCCCCTTTTGGCCCTGTCTCCTTCCACACAGTGCCTCACAGATCGCCCAGGGGGCTCCAGTGCCTTGGGACCCGCTCTTGTCCTAGAACGTAACCATGCGGCCCAGGAAGCACACACTCTCTTATACAGCTAAGTGCCATCTTCCAGAGCCTTCTTTCTCGAGCCCCCCTTCCCCATCTCACCCTGAGACTATCTCCTCCATGGAGCAGATGGAGCAGAAGGGGCTTTCCCTATGCCTTGTGTCTCCCTTCTAGTAACCAGGGCAATAGGAGTGGTCCTTCCCCGAGCTGCCTCATAATTTTTAAACATTTAGAATCATTTTGTCTCCAGAACATCCTTCTGGTCACCCTCACTCCTCCTGGTCTTTGGCTTCTAACACTTCTTCAGATCAAATCTTCCCTTCTTATGTTTGTCCTTGGTGATCTGCCATCCCCCTGACTCGGGATGTCAGACCCCCAAGTGGGGGTCCCCAGTGAGCACCCAGTACAAGCACCCTGGTCCCTGTGGGCTCCCTCAGTCCTTTCCCACGGGGTTGTTGGGTATCTCAGAGGCAGGAATGTGAGTCTGAACTTCCCTCATCCTCTTCCTGCACCGGTCTCTCTGGGGCATGTCAGGGAACCCCGCCCACTGGTTCAGGGAACGCCCCTGACATCTCCTTTCTAAACCAGGGTCCAAGTCTGCTCTTGCACGGCTCTCATCACTTCCGTCCCTGCATACTCACAGGGGTTACAGTAATTCTGTTCCCCTCCCTTGCACTTGACTAAACTCGTGGTCAGTAAGCCAAGTCAAGCCTTGTCAGTCTGCCTCCCAACATACGAGATGTTCAGCAGATGTCTGGAAAATTGAAATCCAGTCTCATTAGGTGTCCCGCAGGGACTATGTGGAGGTCACATGCTACCAGAAAATGACCTTGAGCTTCAGGGTAACACAGGTGAGGTCAAACCCCGGCCGCACGTCATGCCAGCCATGTAACAGGCCTTCGTTTATTGACCTTCACGAGGAAAATAAAAATCCCTACCTCACCAGGATGTTGTAATAATTCATTCAGATAGAGCGCTCCAAACTCTAGCTGTGCATAGGAATGACCCAGAGAGAGGCTTTGTGAAGCGTGGTTTTCTGGGCACCGTTACGAAGTGATTCTGATTCAGTGGGTCTGAAAGCAGAGGTCACAAAACTCGGAGGTGTTTCCGACGTGCCCACGCATTTGGGGACCGCAGGAGTCATGTTTATAAAATGCCTAGCACAGGGCCAGGGAAGCAGATGCAACCCTGCAAACCCACTGTCTGCCCTGCTCTGGGAGCCGAACTCCACCGGCTACGACATGCAGATTTTTTTTCCCCCTCTGAGCTCCCCTTGGGTTCGCCCGGTGGCAAGCACAAAGAATGATTCAGACAAGGATCCTGGCAGCGACTGTGTTCTGTCAGGGGCCCCTCTTCTGCGGTCCCAGCCCTGTCTGGACTCCGGCAATGCTGCCCCTTCCCGTTGGCCCTCCTGACCCCAGAGGGAGCAGCTCCCCACTCTTGCTAGGTGCTGAGAATCTCTAGCCCAGCCCACACCTTGGTAAATAGTCCCCTTGTGAAGGATTTTCCAGTGTGAACTATAAGCCCTCCTCGACACCGTATTTGTTCTCTGCATCCGGAAAGCACTGTCCCCCTCCTCCACAGGGCAAGGACACCTGTGATACGTTCCCCCGACAATGTCATTTCTTGCCCTTCCTGTTCATGCCCTTCCCAGCACTCTCCGTGCATCCTCCAGCTCTTGGATTCCCAAGCATGCATTTCTGTTTGGGACTTACTCCCAAGTTTCTTTATTTTGTCTGTGATACGCCCTTCCCAGTTGTACTTGCATTTCCATCTGCATTTCCATCCTCCCAAGTGTCAAGATCGCTCTGTGATTGTTCATAATGCCCAGTGTTACATTTTCCAGCACACTTTGCTAATAATCCACATCCTGCCTGTCTGCACATCAGCATCTGTGATCAGAAACAGTATTTCCGATCCCTATCCTCTTTTCTTCTGGGTAGTCACGTCCTTGTTTTATTCCTCCTTTGATGCCGTATCATTTGCCAGAAGGTGTCTGGGGATTTAAGTAGGCTTTCTTCTCCTTCTCCATTCAGTTACTTTCAAATCCTCCAGGATAAAGCATTCTTTCTCATCTTCTTGATCTTTAGCTCAAAATCCTTCCTGTGTTGTTCTGAACCTTATTCTAATAATCATGATCATTGACATCATCTTTTTTTATCAAAGTGCAATAACTGCAGGAAAGAAGCTAAAAACACCACCCCTTCTTCAAGCACCTTGCACTTCCTGCCCTTTACCCCTTGCCTTGGCCACACCCCCATGGGCTCTTCGTGAGTTGATTGGCAGGAGGAGGAGGCGGTCAGTGGACATTACTACACCTCCTCGGGCCTCTTTGCTGTCTCCCAGACACAACCTCGGTGAAGATGGCCATGTCTTCATGGACCTGGCAGTTCCAGAAACCTCCCTGTGGCCCGGGGCAGAGCCAACAACCACTACAAGTACCTACTGGTTAGCCGCTTCTCTGCACCTTACAGAGCCTGAGGTTCCTCTCTTGTCCTAGATGTCTTCTCCAGAAGGTTTGGCTTTCTCCTTTTGGGACAGGGTCCATATTTATGTGTCAGTCCACTGGTCCTAAATCCCCCCCACTTCAGGGTCCTCTGTCGGATCACCTTCTTCTCCTCTTCTACTGTGTGATTTTTTTGTAGCATCTTCTTTTTCTATGTCAGTGTTTATCCACCTTCAATCTTCTTGACTCAAGTGATACTTTTCCTTTTAGGTGGAAGAGTCATTGTCAGTCTTTATTATGCTCTGTTCCCCAGTTAGTTACAGCATTCCAAGGCAGCCTGGAAGAGACACATTTTTGTACAAGTCCAGAAGACCTCTTAATATTTATGGCTACCTGTAGGCAGACCAGCCCTCTGAACTTCCATGCTCATCATGAACGTGGAAGGGGAAACGAACCCTCCCCAGGGCTCAGAGGTCTGTATGTTTGCCCTTTATGTATTCATCTGTTAAACATGCATTTATGATGCATCATCGGCTGGGCATCAGGCACTGTGCAAACACCGGGGACGTGGCAGTGGACATGGCAAGCATGGTGTCTGCTGCCACGGAGCTCAGAATCCAGCTGGGAACACAGAACCTCAGTGAGGTTCCTATACGGGTGGTGAGGGCCACCCAAGAGGACACCGGGGACTGTGGGGCTGTATAAGCCCCATCTCTGTGCACCACTTGAGGTTCTTGTTCTCCCACAACTGACAGCATCTCTTGACCCCTCAACCCCGGTTAGCAACCACCCAAACTCTTTCTGAAAGGAGAACCGTTTGCTCCTCATTGGTCGAAGCCCCAAACCCAGCAGGTACAAATTGTCACATATTCAATGATAACTCTTCCCATGAGGCCTGTGCTCTTGTGAAAATTTGCCGTGGTTGAAAATATTTCCCACAAGAAAGTATTTGAGACTAAGTGTTTATGCTGGAGACTGAGATTAGTTTTTACGTAAGTATTTCACGTTGACTGCTGTGCTTCTAGAACAGGAAGGATCTGACATGGCTAGGGGTTTCGCTGGTTTTCAAATACCTTTTAGAACCAGAGTTTTTGTTTTGTTTTGTTTTGTTTTTTGTGGGTGGGGGGCAGTGTCCAAACCATAATTCCTTTTACTATCTCATACAATGAGTGCCTTGATGTGGCCGTTTCCCAATTCACTGACACGCGCGCCTTCCTCCTTGATACCCGCCAGTGCCTCAGACGTCCCCCCAGACCTTAACTGCCCACAGCCCTTGTCCCCCTTAACGTGGGTAATGAGTGTGCAGTGTCCCCCTCTGATGGCCAACCCACCAGCACGCTGGGAGCATTGCTTTGAGAATTCTCTTTGAGTTGTAACTATTCTTTCCTTCTTCCTTCCTGTGTGTGTGCGCGCGTGTGCGTGTGCATGTTTAATTCCTACTTGTGAACTTTCAGAAGGCAGAGAAAAAAAACTCACGTCTCTATCTCTTCTTTTTTGAAAAACAAAACCCAAAAGACTCCTGGGATTCTGCTCAGAGAACCAAAGATGTTTCCCCTCAGCTGAACTCGGCCACCATCATTGATATCCACCCTTCCTCCACCTACAGCATCCGCATGTACGCCAAGAACCGGATTGGCAAGAGCGAGCCCAGCAACGAGCTCTCCATCACCGCGGATGAGGCAGGTGCGTGTGAGCGGGCGAGGCCCATGTCTCGGAGCCCCGGAGCTGGCCCCCGGGGCTCACATGGCTAACACAGAATCAGGCCGTGGGCTGCGCCTGGTGGAGGCCTTTTGAAGAGTGCTCTCCATAGCACCACGCCCTGTTAAGAGACGCAGATGGCGCTCTGCCTCCTACTTTGAAGGCACTGTTCTTCCAACTTCGTTCAGGGTTCTCATATCCAAGAATTAAAACACAGACACAGGAGACTACCAGTCTGGTGATATTTTAAAGAGCTGGGCCATTTTTACATTTCCTCTGTTTGGATCATGGAATCCGGGTTGACAGGAGAACCATGAGTGTATGTCTTGCCCAAGGCCCTGTGCAATCCAGGTGTGAGTGGATGGCTTAACTAGGAAATGGCAAGAATATTCTGTGTGTGAGGAGTTGGGGGGACAGCGGTAGACGATATTTTATTGACTAGAAGTGTCAATATTTCTATAGTAAACTTTATTGTTCTTCCTATTCCAAAGAATTTCATATTCAGGGTTGAAAATTTAGAGGATAGAGATAAGCGTTTTGAAGAAGGCCAAACCGCTTCCCTAATCCCACCACCTAGGGCTACCTGTGGGTGTGGTGCTATCACTTACTGAATCGTTCATCACACACACGCACGCATGCATTCTCCCTCCAACACTCGCACTTGGCTACCAGGGGTGAACTGACCAATTTGTGGGGGTCTGAGCCATTAGGCAGTGTCAGTGAAGGCTGGCTGTCAACCCACATCCTGGCGGGAGAGGAGGAAGCCAGCTGCCACTGAGGTGCCCTGGGGAAGGAAAGGTAAGGATCCAGGCCTGGCTTATCTCTTAGGAGCCCCAAACCTGGCTTTTCTTTCCCTGCCAGAAATCAGAGCTAATCAGCCACTACGTACCGCTGCAGTGAAACTGGAAATTTAGACTCAGATCCCTTCCTCCACACCAGGTTTAATGTGATCATCCCCGAATGAGTGAGAGTCCACGAGAGGTTTGTTTCAGCTTTCAGCTGGGGAATTAGGGTTGTTCTTGACTTCCTTCCTTCCACCCCCTTCTCTTCGACCCTCGTTAATGGCATTCCAAAAAGTCATCACTCTTATATACCCCTTAAGTACTTGCCTACAATTCATAATGATATCTTCCACCATCTACTTCACAAATCCTATATTATTAGACATGTCTGTTTTTTTCTGTTTTTTATTACTATAAATGCCACTGTGATGAACATCCGCTGCGGTCTGTCTTTTGCCACTTAAGATTATTCTTAGGTTCAATTCCAAGTAGTAGGATTGCTGGACCAAAACAAATACAAACATTTCACTCTTCTGCTATGTGTAGTCAATACCATCCACAAGGAAGTGGGTTGAAATAGACAGTTCTTCCCGCACTGGGGATGAGCACTTCATTCTCCACCTGGGAACACATTGGTTCTTGAAAATTGTTTTTACGGGCGGGTGATAGGATAGCTTTATTCATGGGTGTCTGAGGATGAGCCATTGCTATTGCTTAGAAACTCTATGTGATTTCTCATCTGCAAAATGGACATAATGATGCCTTTCTCCTCCTCACCACAAACATACTGGATAATTGGGGGAAAGAAATGCAAGCTCTCAAGTACTTTGTATTTCTCAGAAACAAGTGAGAAATGAGTGTCAACGTGCTCCTGCAGAAATAGAATCGTATTTAAATATTTAAACAGCCCACGAACTTCCTGGGATTTCATCACGTTATATATTTAGGGAGGAGACGCTGCCCCCCAAATGTAATCTTGGACTCACTCCTCAAGCTTCTCCTCCTTCTTAACCCTTGCTCTGACTGCGCTCCATCTGGACATCCTGTTCAAGAGAACTGTATTTTCCGGTAGTGCCTCTGGTGGCTGCCTTCCAGATTGCCACCATGAACCCTGCCCGGTAGCCTTTTCTTGGGCTCTCGGTGGCCCCTGCTGCGGCTGACAGTTGCCATGGCAACGTCGCTCCCCAGCCTGGAGGCCAGGTGAAGAGCCACTCCCAGCCCGGCGCAGACCTGTGGTGCCATTCCCTGGGCTTTCTGCAGGCACCCTCTTGACTTCCAGGGCTGGCCTCTGGGATTCGACCTGCGCGCCGGCTGCTGGTGGCCCCACAGAGCCTCTCTGACTCACTATTCAGACGAGCTAGGGGAAAATGCAAGGGGGGGAGCAGCTAGAGCAAAGTGGAGCTCCAAAACAGGATTTGTCTTTGTCTTGGTGCATTGGTTTTGAGGCTGACATGAAGAAATCAGGTTTTCTTACTTGTGACTCACGCAGAAGGTAGGGCAACTGTCCTGGCCAAGGATCCCCTCATCAGAATTGCCTGCAGTGGCCATGGATTGCTGCCAACACTCCCCAGCAGGGATACCCAACGACACAGCTTTGGGGAGCTACTGTCACCTCAAGGTGACCTTTTCCCATCCTTATTGCCCACTTGCCTTAAGGCCATCTCTCAAGCAGACTATCTCTCTCTCAGATGGAAGCTCCTGGAAGCTGTAGACCCACTCATTTTTATGGTAATACAGTGCCCAAGTCTCAGGCGTGGGGGACATCTCTCAATACCCAGCTGAAAATGTGTCTGTGAAGTGGTTAGGTCTGGGTCTTCCCCGACCCCCTCTGCTTTGAAGCTGCACTCGACTTCCTGTGGCCCCTTCCTGCCCCCTGTCCTCTGCATGTGTGCCGTGCCCTCTGTCTGGAGGGTCTCCCTGGATGACATTAGTGCCTCCTCCCCCACTGCTAAGTAGGAATCCTTCTGACAATGGCCTTTGAGGCATGTCATCCTTTCTGCATGGACCTCAGGGTCCTGGGTGAGGCTGTGGCCCCCTCAACATGAGGGGCTACAGGCTGCTCCTGTTTCCTTCTTCATGTGTGTCCGGCACAAGGCAGATCTTTCATGGAAATCTCATGTGGGAGGAATCTTCATAAAGATGCCTCACTGGATTGTGTTAGAAGGGTGTGACAGTGATTCTGTGTGTGTGTGTGTGTGTGTGTGTGTGTGTGTGTGTGTGTGTAGAATGTATTTGCACTGAAATTTTGAAGGGTCTCATAAAGAAAGAAAAGTAGAGGAAGCCAAAAGGGAAGGGCTTTGGAAGGTGGAGGAAGAAGGCACACCCCGCTGGAGCTCTAAGCCTGCAGGAATCATCGGGGCCAGTAGCCTGAGATTCCCAGCCCTGTCCCGGTGGGCTGGGGCTGTCCCGGGTCACACACTGCAGCCCACAGCACAGGAGGCCTGAGCATCTGTTTGGCTTGGGTCTGCCCTACTGTAGTGCAAGTCGTTCGATTTAGGCACCAGTTTTTGAAATCGGGAAAATTCAGATCAAAATCCAAATTTTGAGTTCCTCCTGAGTGCCTGCTTGGCACCCATCAGCTGGAGCCAAGTATATAGAGGTTAACTTGAGGCTGGCCGTAGCTCCCCTCAATTAATCATCATCCCACCCTTCTTTCATTTAAGAGTTCAGCGAATTCCAGCCCATGGGCCAAATCCCCCCTACAACCCTCAAGCAAAGAATAGGGTTTACATTTTAAAAAGAAGACTATGTAACAGAGATCTCCCGTAGCCTACAAAGCCTAAATATTCACTATTTGGCCCTTTACATAAAAATTTTACAGATCCCTAACTTAGGTCTTGCCGTGGTGGGAATTTGGGTTTTGGATTCCTGTCATATATCCCATCCCAGAGCTTAGTGAAGAAGGAATCATACCATCTGCACAGCATCCTTACCTAATGTTGGAAAACAGCATTTTCCAACGCAACCACACCCAGGGCATTTTCTTTTCTTTTCTTTTTTTTTTTAAGATTTTTATTTATTTATTGAGAGAGATAGTGATAGAGAGAGAGCATGAGAGGGGGAGAGTCAGAGGGAGAGGCAG